ATTGACTATGATTACATTTACTGTAAACTTTGAGAGTTTATAGGCAAAACTCAACCATTTGTTTAGGGGAAAGGGAGGGTATTAGGATTTGTAAGGACATGGAGGGTCAGGGAAAAGGCGTTCTGGAGGCTGGCAATTCTTATTTCTCAATCTGTGTGATGGTTTAAGGGATGTACTTCCTTCAGAGGTAACACTTTGTATTTATGACCTGCACTTTTCAATAGTATATATGTCATAACTGTTTAGAGAATGAAAATGCATGTTGTTTACCTTTGCTTCTTAAAGAACCTGGAAACTTAACCGAATTTAATGGAGATAAATAATTCTGCTCACGTATTTTTCCTTTTAGATTATACCTAAAATGAGATAGAGTCACGGGATAAAACGCATATTCTTACCTATGTGATCAATGGTACTCATAGGGATTTAAAGTTGTCTTCACATATTTCTCATCTGGTAGTAAGAGACATACACAGTCTTTGGGAAAGTGCGGAAACTAATGTCCATTTCGTGACTATTATGTGCCAACCACTAGTATCATCTTTTACACAAACTACCTAATTTTCTCCTCACAGCATCCCTGTGTGATAAATATTACTGAGCCTATTTTAGCTGATTTTTACAGTAAATCAGATAGAAAGTAAATAGTGGTGCTGGGGATTTCAGTGCCTTCCGTTTCTTCCTCTCTTCTCTCTCCACACACAGAGTAAATATTTTTGCATAAACGTGGGAATTTCTAATATAAAATCATTTCTCTCCAAATCAACTGTGCCATTTTGAATTATTAATTCAGTTTCTTGAACTGAGGTTCATCAGTATATTAAATCTATTTTTGACATAGTATGTAAAATCACACCCCGTTTTGTAGGTTATAATTCGGAATCAAAAATTAGTGGAGGAAGCCTGGTGCGGTGGCTCACGCCTGTAATCCCAGCACCTTGGGAGGCCGAGGTGGGCGGATCATGAGGTCAGGAGATCGAGACCATCCTGGCTAACATGGCGAAACCCCATCTGGCCGGACGCAGTGGTGGGCGCCTGTAGCCCCAGCTACTCGGAGGCTGTGCAGGAGAATGGCGTGAACCCGGGAGGCGGAGCTTGCAGTGAGCCAAGATCGCGCCACTTCACTCAAGCCTGGGTGACAAAGCGAGACGCCGTCTCCAAATAAATAAATAAATAAATAAATAAGTAAAAAATAAAAAATAAATTAGTGGAGGAATTTCAAGGTTTTCAATCTTATGCTAAGGACACAATGTATGTGTATTTTATTTATTTCTCCAGCTTGGTCTATTCTATTAGTTTTTATTACCATTATTGACAGTCAGGTTACTTTAGTTCTAGTCTCAGAATCCCATGGATCTGCCACAGGGATGTAGATAATGATTTCTCCAGTTTATTTCAAGCTTTGCCTAGAAGAGATCCTGAATAACTAATAACTTAGTGCTGTCCACAGAACAACTCTCTTCCCAATTTCTGCCTGTTTCCAAATTGGAAATTTATAGGCCTATGGTCAATACTCTAGAGAACAGTGCATAATCTTCCAAGATAAAATAAATTATTGGAAAATTGATGCTCTTATTTTAAATATAAATAAGATAGCCTGTCAGATGTTAAGACAGCCTCATTTATTTGAATGCAATATTGATCTTGCCTTCTTTTGGAATTTAATAGGTATGGTATGATCCAGAAGGCTATCACTCCCTTCCAGCTTACCTCAACAGCCTGAATAATTTCCTTCTGCGAGTTAACATGTCAAAATACGATGCTGCCCGACATGGTAAAGTTACTAACGCAAAAGTGTCTTGTATTGCAACTTTTGTTACTCTCCGTATAAAAATGCACTTTATATCCTGTTTCTTCACAGTGGCAGGTATTTTATGGTATCTAAATCACAGGTCTTCAAAAGGAGTTTAGAAGTAGTAACTACCGCCAGATGGAACATTCTGAATAATCCTCTTAACTTTGGGTTAATTTAGTTTTCTCATTTATCAAATCAGGATAATAATGCTGACTTCATGTGCATGTCTGCTGTGAACCAAGTAGATATAGCTCATAGAAAAATATTTTTAAACGATGTGCTTGTCTACAGGCTAAACAATTTTTAAAAACAATTAATGTTTACAAATATTGTTCACAAATCTAAACATGATGACAAAACTTTCTTTTTTGACATATGTTAGTGGTTACTTGTTTATTTTATTGTTATTTTTCTTCAACTGTTATTTTAAGTTCAGGGGTACATGTACCAGATGTGTAGGTTTGTTACATAGGTAAATATGTGCCATGGTGGTTTTCTGCACAGATCAACCCATCACCTAGGTATTAAGCCCAGCATCCATTAGCTATTCTTCCTGATGCTCTCCCTCCTTCCATCCTCTGCACTCTGACAGGACCCAGTATGTATTGTTCCCCACCGTGTGTCCATGTGTTCTCACCATTCAGCTCCCACTTATACGTGAGAATGTGCAGTGTTTGGTTTTCTGTTCCTACATTAGTTTCTTGAGGATAATGGCTTCCAGCTCCATCCATCTCTCTGCAAAGGACATGATCTCATTCCTTTTTATGGCTGCATAGTATTCCATGATGTATATGTATCACATTTTCTTTATCCAGTCTATCATTGATGGACATTTAGGTTGATTCCATGTCTTTGCTATTGTGAATAGTGCTGCAGTGAACATACATGTGCATGTATCTTTATAACAAAATTATTTATATTCCTTTTGGTATATATGTAGTAATAAGACTGTTGGGTGAAATGGTATTTCTGCCTCTTGATCTCTGAGGAATCACCATACTGTCTTCCACAATGGTTGAACTAATTTACATTCTTACCAACAGTGTAAAAGCTCTCCTTTTTCTCTGCAACCTCACCAGCATCTATTGTTTTTTGACTTTTTACTAATAGCCATTCTGACTATTTTGAGATGGTATCTCATTGTGGTTTTGATTTATATTTCCCTAATGATCAGTGATGTTGAACTTTTTTTCATATGTTTGTTGGTTGCATGTATGTCTTCTTTTTAGAAGTGTCTGTTCATGTCCTTTGCCCACTTTTTAATGTTTTTTTTTCTCCCCAGTAAATTTAAGTTCTTTATAGACTCTGGATATTAGACGTTTGTCAGACAGATAGATGGCAAAATTTTTCTCCCATTTGGTAGGTTGTCTGTTCACTCTGATGATAGTTTCCTTTTCTGTGCAGAAGCTCTTTGGTTTAATTAGATCCCATTTGACAAATTTTGCTTTTGTTGCAATTGCTTTGTTTTTGGCATTTTCATCATGAAATTTTTGCCTGTGCCTATGTCCTGAATGGTATTGCCTAGATCTTCTTCTAGGGTTTTTATAGTTTTGGGTTTTACATTTAAGTATTTAATCCATCTCGAGTTAATTTTTGAATATGGTGTAAGAAATGGGTCCAGTTTCAATTTTCTGCATATGGCTAGCCAGTTCTCCCAGCATCATTTATTAAATAGGGAATCTTTTTCCCCATTGTTGGTTTTTGTCAGGTTTGTCAGAGATCAGATGATTGTAGGTATGTTGGTCTTATTTCTGAGTTCTCTATTCTGTTCTATTGGTCTATGTGTTTGTTCTTGTATCAGTACCATGCTTTTTTGATTACTATAGCCTTGTAGTATAGTTTGAAGTTGGATAGTGTGATGCCTCCAGCTTTGTTCTTTTTGCTTAGGATTGTCTTAGCTATTCTGTCTCTTTTTTGGTTCCATATGAATTTTAAAATTTTTTTCTAATTCTGTGAAGAATGTCAATGGTAGTTTAATGGGAATAGCATTGAATCTGTAAATTACTTTGGGCAGTATGGCCATTTTCATGATATTGATTCTTCCTATCCATGAGCATGGAATGTTTTTCCATTTGTTTGTGTTCTCTCTGATTGCTTTGAGCAGTGGTTTGTTGTTCTCTTGAAGAGGTCCTTCACTTCCTTTGTTAGCTGTATTCCTACGTATTTTATTCTTTTTGTAGCAATTGTGAATGAGAGTTCATTCATGATTGGGCTCTCTGCTTGCCTATTGTTGGTATATAGGAATGCTAGCAATTTTTGCACATTGATTTTGTCTCCTGAGATTTTGCTGAAGCTGCTTATCCTAGCTTAAGAAGCTTTTGGGCTGGGATAATGGGGTTTTCTAGATATAGGATCATGTCATCTGCAAACAAAGATAATTTGACTTTCTCTCTTCCTATTTGAATACCTTTATTTCTTTCTCTTGCCTGATTGCTCTGGCCAAAACTTCCAATACTATGTTGAATAGGAGTGGTGAGAGAGCATATCCTTGTCTTGTGCCAGTTTTCAGGGGGAATGCTTCCAGCTTTTGCCCATTCAGTATATTATTGTCTGTGGGTTTGCCTTATATGTCTCTTATTATTTTGAGGTATGTTCCTTTAATACCTAGTTTGAATTTTTAACAAAAGGGATGTTGAATTTTATCAAATGCCTTCTCTGTGTCTATTGAGATAGTCTTGTAGTTTTTGTCTTTAGTTCTGTTTATGTGATAAATCATATTTATTGATTTGTATATGTTGAACCAACCTTGCATCCTCGGGATGAAAGCGAATTTGATTGTAGTGGATAAACTTTTTGATGTGCTACTGGATTCAGTTTACCAGTGTTTTATTGAGAATTTTTGCATTGATGTTCATCAAGGATGTTCGCCTGAAGCTTTTGTTTTGTTTTTTTTTTTTTTTGAGGCAGAGTCTCGCTCTGTTGCCCAGGCTGGAGTGCAGTGGCACAATCTCAGCTCACTGCAGTCTCTGCCTCTGTGGTTAAGCAATTCTCCTGCCCCAGCCTCCCAAGTAGCTGGGATTACAGGTGCCCGCCACATGCCTGGCTAATTTTTTGTATTTTTATTAGAGACAGGGTTTCACCATGTTGGGCAGGCTGGTCTCAAACTCCTGACTTCAGGTGATCTACCCACCTTGAGCTCCCAAAGTGCTGGGATTACAGGTGTGAGCCATCACGCCCAGCCTCTTTTTTTTTTTTTTTTTTTAATGTATTTCTGCCAGGTTTTGGTATCAAGATGATGCTGGCCTCATAGAATTAGTTAGGGAGGAGTCTCTCCTTTTCAATTGTTTGGAATAATTTCAGTAGAAATTGTATCAGCTCTTCTTTATACTCTGGTAGAATTCAGCTGTGAATCCATCTGGTCCTGGGCTCTTTTTGGTTGGTAGGTTTTTTATTACTCCCTCAATTTCAAAACTTGTTATTGGTCTATTTAGGGATTCAATTTCTTCCTGCTTCAGTCTTGGGAGGGTATGTGTGTCCAGAAATTGATCCGTTTCTCCTACATTTTCTAGTTTATTTGCATAGAGGTGTTCATAGTATTCTCTGATGGTTGTTTGTATTTCTGTGGGGTCAGTGGTAATATTCCCCTTATCATTTCTGATTGTGTTTATTTGATTCTTCTCTCTTTTCTTATTTGTTAGTCTAGCTAGTTGTCTATTTAATTAATGTTTCCAAAAAACAGCTCCTGGATTTGTTGATTTTTTAAAGGACTTTTTGTGTCTCTGTCTCCTTCAGTTCAGCTCTGATCTTGGTTATTTCTTGTCTTCTGCTAGGTTTGGGGTTTATTTGCTCTTGGTTCTCTAAGTTATTTTAGTTAAGATGTTAGGTTGTTAACTTGAGACCTAGATGTTTAGCTGTTTGATGTGGGCATTTAATGCTATAAATTTTCCTCTTAACACTATTTTAGCTGCATCCCAGAGATTCTGGTACATTCTCTCTTTTTCTCATTAGTTTCAAAGAACTTCTTGATTTCTGCCTTAATTTCATTATTTACCCAAGAGTCATTCTGGAGAAGGTTGTTCAATTTCCATGTAGTTGTGTGGTTTTGACTGAATTTCCTAATCTTGAGTTCTAATCTAATTGCATTGTAGTCTGAGAGACTGTTATGATTTCAGTTCTTTTTAATTTACTGAGGAGTGTTTTACTTCTGATTATGTGATCAATTTTAGAGTAAGTGCCATGTGGCGATGAGAAAAATGTACATTCTGTTGTTTCTGGGTGGAAAGTTCTGTAGATATCAGGTCTATTTGATCCAGAGCTGAATTCTGGTCCTGAATATCTTTGTTAATTTTCTGAAAGACAAAACTTTTATACTAAAAAATTCTATAACTGGACAAAAGCATTGCCATTCATTGAGCACTGACCATATGACATGCTTTATATGAAATATTGATGATCCCTACAGCAGTCTTCAGGGTGAATATTATTATCCCCTACTATTATATCATTTCTCTAAGGCCTAGAAGTGGGATTTGAATCCAGGGCTGTCTCACTCCTGCCTGTTTATTTTTCTAATCCTCTACACTGCTCCTCTGAACTCAGCCATGCCTACTTCAGTTGGGTTTCACAAGAGGCTTTCACATGGTTTTAAAAATAAGGCTTGAAATTTGAAACAGACTTTTAAAACATATACATATTTCAATTACTGTTTATCAGATCATGTCATCTTCTTGAGCCTTGCTCAAATTATTTTTCCATGCTGATCCTACAATTTTTTTTTTAAAGAATAAAGAAAAGCTGGCAAACACATTTGCTGGCCAAGATTGAGATTTATAGCCTAATAGTCTATTAAGTAAGATAAAAGATACAACATCTCTTTTAGAAATGCCAACATCTACATTTCTTTCATCTCTCTACTGTTGGGCATTATAGTGTGTGCCAGATGTACTGGTGACTGTAGAAGTAGACCAAAGAGTCCAATACTCATTCCAGCATCAGGATCTTGAAGAGTCTTCATTTCAGAGAAAACAGTATTTTTTTTTCTCAATTGCTTTGGCATTTTCCTAGTAGGAGAAACCAAGAAGAATAGTCTTTAGATCTAGATAGTCCTTAGATCTAGAGTATCAATAAAGAGCAAAGTCAAAAGTGGTAAATTAAATTAGATGATGACTAAAGTGAATTGGGTCTAGTGTAACCTGGTGTGAAATACTATTGGATACTGTACTTTCAGTAGAGTGTTTTATTCAGAGCAAAAGACATTCATTGTTGAGACAGACAATGAAAGTATAAGAACTATAGAAATAACTAGGGGAAAATGTAGCAAAGATAAAGAGAACAAGAGACCAATGCTGCTTTTGAAGGGTCAGCTTTTTAAAAACTGTATTCTGGCTTCCTTTGTAATTAGTGCTCTTTATTTAGACCAAGGCAATCTGAGTCACTCTAGACTCCGGCAGGCTTGTTGTAGCTCCTAACATTATATTTTAAATTACAGAGTATAAAGAATTAAGAATTCTAAAACATAAAGTTTATTTTGACCCTAAACTGGTTTAATTAAAACTAATATAAGATGTAGCTTGAGTTATATAGATATTAGTAACAGTATGTCTTCTAGCCTCTAATAATTTTTCTTAAATAGATTTACAGAAGTGGTAAGTTTCCACCCTCTCTGGAAGGAACCCGATCTCTTTCAAAGAAGAAATGCTGCATCACCCTAACTTACTTTTATTGTTTCTTAATGCATATATGAGGTCTACCATTGTAATAGTATTACTGGTTTTAACAATCAACCCAATTATTCTCCCACTGCCTCCCTCAACACACTAGTTGTTTGAAGGCATCTGTGTTAGATTTTGCATGAATTGGGATTTTACTTTATCTGTAAAATTGATTTTCTTTGAATTCTAACATGCTAATAAGTCTTTTAATTAGCTTTCCTTTGCAATGTCAATATCTATTCTATTCATGTGGTTCCCTCTAGTGGTTAATATAACATTAAAATTCTGTTCTTTCTTCTCAGAAAATACAGGTTTGCTTGTTTTCCTTAACAAGTGTTATACAACAAGGCTCTTTTTCAAGAATACTAACACATTGCCCCTTCCACTCCAGTGTTTATTCTTACTTTGTTGCATTAGAAGCAATGGTCCATGGGAAGCATCTAATTTAAGGTTTATAACTGTAGAGACATCAGAAGATGTCTTATTTTTAATATATATTATATGTGAGAAAAATATTAATTGAAATTTTAAGATTTGAGTTCATTTAAAAGCATTTATTGACCAGTCTCTCTACTTTGGACATCATGCTGGATGCTGTAGAACCTACAGAGATAATTATGATATAGATCCCCAACTGTGACACATTTCCTTGATCTTTCAGCTAAAAATATGTATAAAAAACTGGTTCCACAGGATTTTGCATAGTGGAGTAAAATGTATTTGCAAGGATTTCTCTGGTGAAATAGAGTATTTCTTGATTCTGAAATACAAAGCAGAAATAAAAGTTCTCCCTTGCCTATATAATAATTTAGCATTAGGGTTTAAGTAGGGCCCCTAGGAAAACTGAATCTCAGTTAAAAAGGGCCCCGTAGGCTGGGCGCTGTGGCTCATGGCTGAAATCCCAACACTTTGGGAGGCTGAGGCAGGCGGATCACGAGGTCAGGAGATCCAGACCATCCTGGCTAACACGGTGAAACCCCGCCTCTACTAAAAATACAAAAAATTAGCCGGGCGTGGTGGTGGGCACCTGTAGTCCCTGCTACTCAGGAGGCTGAGGCAGGAGAATGGCATGAACCCAGGAGGCAGAGCTTGCAGTGAACTGAGATCACACCACTGCATTCCAGCCTGGGCGACAGAGCGAGACTCCGTCTCAAAAAATAAATAAATAAATAAAAAGGTCCCTTAATTTATACAAAAGATAAGAAAAATATATGCCTCCAATGATGTGATTAACATTATAAATCAACTTGGTTTTTGTTGTTGTTGTTAGTTTTTTAACTATATATTTTTTCTTTAATATACAACAGTTGCAGAACACAACTTTAAAAGATGTTACATTCTACTTAATAAAAATTATAAACATAACTTGAGAGAATCTGCCTTTAGAATCATCTATAATATTCAGTGCTGCGCAAGGGCCTTAACATCCTAGTACAATGAGCTAATACTATATGAACAGTAAGTGAGAAAGCTCCCACTTAGTTTATGACACTATAAGAACAAGTATTTAGGAGCCATCTTCAATGGCATCCTCTACCATTCTTTTCCACAGTCACTCAGGCAGTACATACTTTACCTTCACATTTTTTTCCTTTGGGAAACTGTTGACAGCTCATTTTTGACTTTGGCTAACCAAGGTCCCCTAAGGAAGGGAAAAAAAGAGCCTTGCTTTTTACTCAAGCATAAGCAATACTGGGAGATCCCCACAATTTGGGACTGTATTGGAAGTAAGTGACCACTTTTCTGAAGCCAGCTAGTATCTCTGAATCCTCTTAGACATTTATGTCTCAGTGAAAAGGCCTCGGGTATGGCTGAAGTTCCCAAGCCCTACTGTGGTAGAGCTCTAGAAAAATAAGCATCTTAGAAGCAATAAAGGGGAAGGAGGAGTCTGCTCAGGCTATACTATTTCCCCACCGCAGACACAGCACTAAAGAGGGATGGAGGAAGTAACTATCTGCTCTTTAAGGGATCCTCATATAAATAATTGGTCCCTCTTTGAATTGCTTATTTAAATGTACGTTTCTGAAGTGCTGTTGAAATACAAACATATATATGACCAGATAGAAGGAAAAGATGGAACATAATTATTTAAATATAACACACTAGAGGGAAATGCAATATAAGAAATATAAATTCTTGGGGTGGGGCACGGTGGCTCACGCCTGTAATCCCAGCACTTTGGGAGGCCAAGGCGAGCACATCATGAGGTCAGGAAATTGAGACCATCCTGGCTAACACAGTGAAATCCCATCTCTACTAAAAATACAATAAATAAATAAATAAATAAATAAATAAATAAATAAAACATTAGCCGGGTGAGGTGCCAGGCACCTGTAGTCCCAGCTACTCAGGAGGCTGAGGCAGGAGAATCGCTTGAACCCAGGAGGCAGAGCTTGCAGTGAACCGAGATCACACCACTGCACTCCAGCCTGGGTGACAGAGCAAGACTCCGTCTCAAAAAAAAGAAGAAATATAAATTCTCGTTCCCTTCCGAAAGGTTCTAAACACAATGTGAAAAACCTCTTTTTATGTGAGTGCCACCAATCGTATGGCATTAATGGGATTAGGGGAAAAATAATTTTCCTTTATAAAAAGGTCCCCCAAATAAAATTGTTTAGATGATAATATAAGGAGGAAAGTGTTGAATATTATTCATCTAAAAATTGGTATTTCTGATTAACTGAATACCTGTTAATAGAAGAACTGTTTCTTCTTTAAGGCATCATCATGTATAGCCATCCTTATCCAGGAGTGCAAGACCAAGAACAAGCCACGTAAGCAGATGTCTCTAGCATGACTACTTTCTCCGTGACATGGCTGAGCCTCTGTATAAAGTGCTCTAATTGAAAATCACAGTTGTATCTGAATGAATGTCAATGTAGAAGGGCTGGTAATATGTCACTGACGGGGATAAAAGGAAGTTTCTGCAAGGGTGTAGAGTGGGCTTGCCAAGTAGAGCTTGTTGACTGCAGACTCACAGCGTTTGCTGCTTTTAGAAGTCAAGTGATAAGTGCTACATCACTTCAACTTCCCTGCATAGCAAATAAGTATGGTTTCTGTGCTCAAGAATGATACATCCCTTGCACAGACTCTGTAACCGCTGGAGACCGAGGTTTTTCTATCAAATATCCCTAGTCAATTCCGATGCACTAGAACTACATCTATTCTGGGGTCACGGCGGAGTCACGTTGGAGATATTATCTGGCTGCCTTGCAGGATGCCTTATTTGTGTCACAGCCAACTCTTGTACTGTTTTGTTGATGGTTTTGGTTATGAATCTTTCTGAGAGGAAAGGAGTTCCAAAAACTTATGTGTGTTTTCCTCTCCCTATTGCTCACTCTAGAATCAGCAGTTTAATCGATATTTTAGTGGCACTGTCTATCTTGATGGGCTACTCTGTCACCACCGCCAGCTTTGTCACCTATGTTGTAAGGGAACATCAAACCAAAGCCAAACAGTTGCAGCACATTTCAGGCATTGGTGTGACATGCTACTGGGTAACAAACTTCATTTATGACATGGTGAGTAACGTATGCCATTCGTTGCAGGAAATAAAAGATTAATTTGGATAGAAGACATCAGTTTTCTATTCAAGAGTTATTTACTCTAGTTTGTTCAAATTGTTGTGACAACGACAGGAAATAAAGAAAATGACTTGAGTTAGGCTTATCTTCATCCAGTGGTTGGAGGAAAGATAATCTACCTGCCCTCATCTCTGTGGACTAGATCAGATTCCCTAGGGCACTTAAAATGTGTATTTCTGGGCCCCACTCCAGATCTGTTAAATCCATATCTTAGGAGGGGAGTGTGGAGAATATGCATTTTTAAAAAGATCCGCCAGGTGATTTTAAGCATGCTGAAGTCTTACTGTCAGTACTGTGGAGAAATAGAAGCTTAGCAGCAACATATCCTTACCTAATTGTGCCAAACAATCAAGCTTATACAAATTTAATCAACTAATAGTGAAAAATGTGAAGTAGTAGCCCCTGCTAATGACACATTAAAGAAGATTAGTAGGAAAAAGAAGGAATGTATTTCATTGATAGCTTTCTCATTTGCATAAAATGGTCCCAAGTTCAGATGGTTGTTCGTGACTCCAAACATACCAATGTTGGCCAAAAGCCCAGGATGGGTATGCATTTGCCTGGTGATTATGGTGAAAGTGTCTGAGTTGCTGTCAAGATCATTGGCTTAAAGGGTTGGAGAGTAATTAACTGCATTATGCATTTTGTTAATGTATCCAGTGAGGTCTAAAATGTGTTTGTTGTAGAAGTCAAATCTAAAAGAATAGTAATGACTGTTCAGGACTTAACAAGAGCTTTAATGTTAAGAAAATTTCAAGTACATAC